GAGCGTGAGGAACTGCCCCCGCCTGCACCTTGCTGAGACCTAAAAAGCATGGTAAAAACCGGACCCGATCCCTGGACGGGAGCCCCGCAGAGCAGGAGATGGGATTATTCCGAGACAGTTGTGGAGAGCTATAACCGGGCAGCGGAGTGTTAAAACGCTCGAAGAGGAGCCGGCAGCCCGCGCCGTCGCAGAGAGGAGGTGACTCGAGTCCTCTCGCTCTTCTTTCTCCTTCCACTGAACAACAGAGGAAAGAACTGGTACTCGGCTCTGGCCGAGTTGGGAATACCGTGCCTTTTGCCTGGAATGATTTGCCCCGACGTGCCGCTTCAACGGGATGTACAAAGTGCGACTGCGACTGCTCCGGACAACAAAGTTTGCAGAGTGATGGGAAGGGGCTGAGGGGTGGAGGCGGCTGGGCACACGCCGGTGAGGTCTGTCACACATGGTCCAGCAGCACAGACCTGCTGCTCTCCTGAAAACTAACTCCTCATGGTCCAACTCTGCTGGCTCCTGGTTTTACTTCTACCCTGCCAAATTGCATTTTCAGGGACACCCCCCCACCCCAAATGCACCTGATGCAATGCAGTGCTTCTGTGTTGGTTTTGTATATAAGATTTGCTATGCAATTCCAAAACTAAAAGAGGAGGAGAGATGGCCCTGCACCCCAGAGCAAACAGAATCAGAGGTGAAAGGTAGGAGCCAGCATTTCTCGTTTAAATAAAACTAAATAACCTGAGCTACTGCTTACTGAAAACTTTTAAAACACACCTCCTGTATATTTGTTTTCTTTGCTTTGGAAGTGTAAACCAGTTTGAAACAAAGTGAAGATTTGCTTTCTGACCTGCCCAGAAACAGAGAACTGATGCATTTTGTCACAGGAGTGTACCTGGAGGAAGGATGGAGTGTTTCATCAGTGAGACTTAGGAAACTAGAGAAAAAGCACCTCATACAATATGCTTCAGTAAATATGAAGGGCTAGTGCAGTGGATGCTGGAAACACTCGATCAATAGCCTATTTTCATGGGAATATATGCAAACATGGAAAAGTGATTGCTTTCCTGTGTGTGGGGTGTATTTTCAGAGGACAGCAGCAGAACATTTGCAGGTGAGCTGTCTGAAGTAGGCTGCTTCATGCTGGGGTGGTGCAGTGTGTTTCTGAAGGGATTGCTTAAAAAAACCTGTCTGTAGGGTGGACTGTATTTGTGCATGTTGAATTGCTGCTCATAGAGCTTTCAGTGTTGTTCAGGGTGACTCAAAAGGGGTGCAGTCCATCTGGGGGCAAAGGGACCATAAAAAGGACCTTAGGTCTGCTTTTTGATGAGTAATTAATGGACGTCTGATATCTCTGATCTCTGCAACTAAAGGAGCTGATGTCGTCATGAAAATCATGATATAACTTTCCCTCAGGAGAAACTATGACTTGGAACAACACCACTATGGACGGGGAAGGGTTGCTGGTGGAAAGGGACTCTTCCTTTCGAATCCTCACGGGCTGCTTCCTCTCATTACTGATCCTCTCCACGTTGCTGGGAAACACACTGGTGTGTGCAGCTGTCATTAGGTTTCGCCACCTCAGGTCCAAGGTGACCAACTTCTTTGTCATCTCCTTGGCTGTGTCAGATCTCTTAGTGGCAGTGTTGGTCATGCCTTGGAAAGCTGTGGCTGAGATTGCTGGTTTCTGGCCTTTTGGTTCATTTTGCAACATCTGGGTGGCCTTTGATATTATGTGCTCAACAGCCTCCATCTTAAATCTCTGCGTCATTAGTGTGGACAGATACTGGGCCATCTCCAGCCCATTTAGGTATGAGAGGAAAATGACCCCCAAGGCAGCCTTCATCCTGATCAGTGTGGCGTGGACTTTGTCTGTGTTGATTTCCTTCATCCCTGTGCAGCTGAACTGGCACAAGGCTACAACCACAAGTGTTTTGGACCTAAATTCCAGCTTAGAAGATGTAGGTATGGACAACTGTGATTCTAGCCTGAACAGGATGTATGCCATCTCCTCTTCTCTAATTAGCTTCTATATACCTGTGGCCATCATGATAGTAACTTACACGAGGATATACCGGATTGCTCAGAAGCAAATACGACGCATCTCAGCTTTGGAGAGAGCAGCAGTGCATGCCAAAAACTGCCATACCACGAGTGGCAACAGAAGCAGTATGGACTGCCATCAACCAGAGAGCAACTTCAAAATGTCCTTCAAGAGGGAAACAAAGGTTTTAAAGACTTTGTCAGTGATCATGGGGGTGTTTGTGTGCTGCTGGTTGCCATTTTTTGTATTGAACTGCATGATTCCCTTCTGTGAGCCTACTGAACCATCCAAGGGAGCAGAAGCCTTCTGCATTAATTCCACCACCTTTGATGTTTTTATTTGGTTTGGATGGGCTAATTCTTCCCTTAACCCCATCATTTATGCCTTCAATGCTGATTTCCGCAAGGCATTTTCGACCCTGCTGGGATGCTACAGGCTCTGCCCTCTGTCTGGCAATGCTATAGAGACTGTTAGTATTAACAATAATGGAGCAGTTGTTTTTTCGAGCCAACATGAGCCCAAAGGGTCCAGCCCCAAAGAGTCTAATCTGGTTTATCTGATTCCACATGCAATTATCTGTCCGGAAGAAGAATCTCTCAAAAAGGAAGAAGAGGGTGAACTATCTAAGACCTTGGAGAAAATGTCTCCAGCACTGTCGGGTATCTTGGATTACGAAGCTGATGTTTCTTTGGAAAAGATCAATCCCATTACACAAAATGGGCAGCATAAAACCTGAACAGTAAGGTTTACTCCGCAAGACCCAATAGTGTATACTGTAATAATCTTGAAAAATCCCCCCAAAACCCCAAGATTTTTTGCTAAGAAATTAAGCTCTAGGGAGAAATACACATTTACACCAAGCCCAGAATTAATTTCCTTGGCATTCAAATCAAGTTTAACATTTTAAACAACAAACAGGAAAAAATACTGAAAATTGGTAAATAAAGAAAAAAACTGTACTGTTTACACTAAGGAAAATATGCAAATTTAGATACAGTGCAGTGACAAAGAAAACATTTCATCTCTACACAGAGAAACCAATTTTTAGCTTAAAACGAGGCAAAAGATAAATGTTAAGTATTTAAAGATTAATGTTTACTAGAAGTTAAAAGATTGCTGTGTCTTGTGATAGTGGGTGTTAACAGGACATAATTAAAGACTGAGGGATTGTAAAAGTAGGTAGATGCCTTCTTAAATTATTTCTGAAATATAATTGAGCCTTATAATGAGAATGGTTATTTTTAAAGCTTTGGGAGGTAATATGTTGATACTGGTTTTATTTATTTATTGTTTTAAATTGATATTTTTCATATGTTATAACAGATCTAGCTTTATTTATGTTATTTAAGATGTCTAAATAATGGGATATTTTTGGAGTGTCATTACTGCATTTTGACCAGTCAACCAGTCAGCACTTTATTACAAGCTTTGATAGTCCAGAAGGCCGATGAGGGTTAATGAAGGAATGTTAAGAAGCTCAGCAAGAAATGAAGGAATCAACAAAACTGATGCTGTGTTGGGTTCATTTGCTTGTGGGCTTTTTTTTTTTAAGTGGGATTTCTTTCAAGAGATAGGATCAGCGTTGACTGAGTTGTGAATTCTCTTCCCTTATAGAAATTAAAAAAAAAAAAAAAAATGCTGCTATTTATTTTTAAAAAGTTTCATGTTACAAAGACTTTGCTAGAATGTCAAGTTTGTGGATCTGTAAATACCTTAAATATGACTACAACCTTAAGAAGAATTCAATTTGAGAAGAAAAGCTTCTTAGAGAACAATTCTTAGTATATAATGTTTTGTATTTATGTAAGATAAACAGCTTTCTCAGACTTTTCTTATTTCAAGTCTTGGATATCTTTTCTGAACAAACACAATTGGTTATAATGATAGTAAACATGCCAAAACCTCATTATCATCTGTATTTCTGCAGTACCACCAGAATCATGCTGTCTGTCTGCTACTGTATCAGAATTAAAAAGTGAGGTACCTAGTGCTTTACTTTGGATACTAGGAGGACATTACATTTTAGTAATTGCCATGTCAGTAGTCCATTCAATAAGGATTAGTGCCTCATTACCATTTTGGATTAAGACATTTCTAAATACAGGATGGAACTGCAGCCCCCACCTCAAACATGTCCTATGAGCTCAAAAAAAGTTGCCAATATTTAATTCAGAAAACATGCTACTTTTTTGTCCTTCCTTGCTGCTTTCCCTTTGCAATGCCAAAAGCAATCAGTGAACATTAGCAACAGGAACACTGGGTGTTAATATTCAGCAGCATTCAAAGAAAGCTATTTGTTTTCTGAATGGGAGAAAATACCCTTTGGAGCAACTTTTTCATAACGTATATCAAAATAATGTGTTGTCAGGAAAAGAGAACTGAGAGGAAAAAAAAATTAAAGTCTAATGAACTATATACATCCTGCATCAGGTCTGTGTATTTATGTATTGTGAATGTTTTCATAATTTTATTGCCTGTATGCTGCTTTCATACATATAATAAAATTATTTTGTGAACAGAAGGTCAAATAAACCTGTCTACATTGCATTTATTAAATACATGCTGGGTTTTGGCAGTTGTCTTGATGATATTAAAGACAAAGACGGTACCTCTTTTTCCATGTGCCGTTATTTGGGATCACCGATGAAGCAGATAGGCATTTTTATTAGAAGCAGGAGAAAGTCCTCTCTACTGGGAGACCTCTGAGCCCTTGCTCTAAACTAGGATTTGAAGGCAGTTTGGCAACAACCACACTCTGCTTCAATGTGACTAATTAAAACATGGTGACTCTTAGTTCAGTGGTTTTTTTTGCCTTGCTGTAGCAGAGTAATTAACTTGGTTTTTATTGTTGCCGTTTTTTACTTCTTCC